GGAAATCCTTTTGTAGCTAGGTCGAGGATATGTTGAACAAGTACTGATTCCTCTAGCTCGGTCATTTTCCGTGAATTGGCTAAAGTATCGCGTCGTGAAGGTATACCAAGCAAACGTCGACCTAGCTTCCGGTGGTCTACAGAATAGGTCCTGGCAGCAGCTCGAGCACGTAAATTTGGGTCTTTTTGCATAGCTTGGATAGCTAAGACTAACTGGCTTTCGTCATTTTTCAGAGGCATCCTTCGTTGTAGAGAAATTTAATATTTCGTGGAGGTGTGGTGGGGTCGCCGGGTTTTGGCCGGTTCGCTTGTTTGGCCGGTTCGCTATACATGCACGTTATGCCTCTTAATTAGTAATTATTCCTTATATAACTACGTGCCCTATTAAGTTCTTGGCACGTACTTATTTAAGTAGCTAGTAGTTCTAGACTCTTTAGTTTATTATTCAACAATTATAAATATACATAACTTTATCTACTCGATTACTACAACGCTATTTACTTTTAGCGTCTATAATAAGTTATATATAATCTAAATTATTCTAGTTAAATTTCAATATTTAACACAGCTAAAAACATTTCTTTTGTTTAATTCTTTTCAAATTATATGAAATTCTATAACCTATCTATAAGAAAAATAAAAGAGATTCCCTGCCCATTTCGAAAAATTTGGGTTTTCGTCCCTGTCTAAACAACCCATTCCAAACCTCCTATTCACGCAAACAGCGCCGATTGAGGCCTATTCACTAACTGCTCCATAATCTCCCCCAACTCATTAAGCAAAGAAGTAGCAGTCTTCGCCCACGGCTCAAACGTAATAACCTCCAGACAAATCGTATCACCCTTAGGGAAAGCCTGAATCTTCCACTCTCTCAAAGGCTCAAGATGTGGATAAATCGTATCCATCCTACTATTCGCACCCAAGAATGCGAGATTCTCCACATGCTCGACGTCTTGGTGGACAACGGAGTCAAACCAGTCGACGCTGGCTGGCCAGTCGGTGCAGTTCTTGACGATTTCTTGAAGTCCCATGCCTTCGTGTTGGGTGCTTTTGATGTGTTGTTGTTGGACGACATGGAGCAGGTCGGTGACGGTCCAGTCGGCTTCGAATTTTATGCGGCATGGGATGTATTGCCAGCAGGGTCCCATTACTGTGTCGCAGTTGGGGAGGTTGATGTTTCGCCCGCTGACTACTTCTCCGAATACGACGTCGCGAACACCTAGTCGACGGGCCAGACATAATGCCCATGCAGCCGTGGGCAGAGTTGCGATGGTGATTTCTTTTGAGCGAGCTGATATGTCGAAGGTTTTGTTGATTGCGATTGCTTTCCGGGTTGTCAACTCCTCTGATGGTTTCAATACTGATAGCGAAGAGCCTTGCAGTAAATTGCCCCAGTATGGGACACTCTGTGGAATAGTCTCTTTGAGGACGTGGTAAATGAACTCCGAGAATGGAATAGCCTCTGGAACAGGTCTCTCCTCGTATAATGCCGAAAGTTGGTGGAGCAAAGGAGGGAGACATATCTCGTCATATTGGGCGTGTGAGATGCGGAAAATGAGGCAGCTTTTCTCTCCCTCGCCTTGAACGAAGAGGAATTTGACAAAGGCTGAACCAAGAGGCATTTCAGTTTCAATGTCAATGTCACATTGCTTTTCTGAAAATGCCACGAGATCGCCTTCGGCTACGTGCTCGGAGATTTCGATTTTCAGGTCTTCTAGTACGACACCGTAGCATTGTTCGGCATGGTACACGAATACCGTTCGAAGGATCTCATTCCGGGAAACGAGTTCGCGACAGCTTTTGAAAAGGCGCTCCTTGTCAACACCGGCGTCGAGATAGAATAGTTCGTATCGTGCGGAATATCTCGGAAGTTGAACTGTTCCATTGACTGCAATTTCTTGAAGGGGACGTGTTGGCAAGACGTCCATGATCTTTGCGCTATTTGGTGGGAGAAGGGGCAAGATGGATTCGGTCAGGAATTTATCAACATCGGGCACGTCGAGTGCCGAGAATGGTGCAGCGGCTTCAACGATAACTTCAGACACCTTCGTGCTCTCAACGACCTTTGCCATATCGGAAAGTGTCCTATGTTTGAATACTTGTGCCACGGTCAATTCGAGACTTTCCATTCGAGCTTCTGAAACGAGCTTCATGGCTGCGATGGAGTCACCACCGAGTTCGAAGAAGCTGTCGTTGAACCCTATCTCCTCGCTGATGCCAAGAACTCGAACCCAAAGTTTTAGGAGTTCCTGCTCTCGAGGTGTAATAGTGAGCGGTTTCTTTGTCTTTTCCGGTTTGGCTTCTACCAGGACCTTTGGTTTGGCAACTCCATCTTTTCGACCCTTGAAAATTATAGAGCCTTTACTATTGTACCTAGCCAACATGCCAGTCTTGTAAAGAGGAGCCTCGCGTCCTGGTGAATCTTTGCAGCCTTCAGAAAGCCAGCTTGGATTCTTTATCGAGGGCAAATCCGACTCCTCATCTTGCTCGATCAAAAGCTCTCCAATGGCTCCAACCGGGAGAAGGCGCTCAGCATCGTCCGGATCGACAATCCATGTTGATGACTGAGCAATGCTGTGAGAAGCAGAATTGCTCAACCTCCACAGGTCATTTCTGTCTTCCTCACTCACAAATTGAAGTTCGCCAATTTGGCCAGTTGGATTCTCATATAGCTGCTGCACAGTACGTGCAAAAACAGCAAGGACCTTTTCCATCTGTGGAACATCGACACACTTCGAGTCAAAGCTCGCCATGGTCAAAAACCCTTTAGGACCCAAAGAACAGACCAACATGAGTGCATAAGAATTGAACTTCAAGGCCTCCCGCGCAGCTTGCTCATCATCGGCTGGCACGAACCCATTTCCAGGATTATCTTCCGTGTTGGCTGGCACCTCTTCGACATTGGGGTGCAAAATGAGACCAGTTCTCAACTCGCAAGCCTCGCGAGCTTCGGGACTGAGTCTTCGGATGTTTTGCAAGCCGAAATGTTCATGAGGGATTCGTAGAATGGCTTGGTCGTGAATGTTTTGCAAGAAATCGGAAATGCGCGTGTCGTGGTTTACGCGTACACGTAGTGGAACTGTGGTAATCAACGGTCCTTCGATTTCTTCGATCCCTGCAATTGGTGCGTTGCGTCCTGTGAGTGTCTCTCCGAACACGATGTCATCGGATCCGAGATATTGTGAGGAGACAAGTGCCCATGCACCTCGAATGGCGGTAGCAATGGTGGTACTCGAAGTTGATGATCCTTCTAAAGTGACATATTTCTCAAGCAGAGAGTCTGTCTGGGTCTGGTACCCGGGAGAAGGTAATGTGGGAAATTGACGACCTGAAGCCCCTTGCATGTTCTCCTTCCAGTATGCTTCCGAGACTGCACGGTCAGCACCACAAAGGTATTTGATGAAGCTCTTGAAGGGAGTACGGCCTTCTGCTTTAAGGCCATGGTAGGCTTTGTTGACGCGTTCGATGACCAGTGGCATTGACCAGCCGTCATAAAGTGCATGATGCATTGTCAACACAAGGTGGACTTTGCCCGTTTTCTCATCACTGATATCCGCAAAACGGGCAAGGGGCTCGCCTAATCCCATTGACTGATCTCTATCACTTACGAGATAAGCCTCCAAATCAGTACCCGAAGACCAAGGCATCGCCCCCTTAGCCACGACTTGTGTTAAGCCACGTCCTGGAACTTGAACGATACGAGTTCGCATAATTGGACAATCAGCTGCCACTGCTTCAAATGCAGCTTTCAGACGATTTACAGTTTCAAGATCCTTCAAATCGACAACTCTTTGAGCAACGTAGGCCTCGCTTATTTTAGCCGAGAGGGCCATGAGACCTTCCTGTAGCGGAGTGCAGGGGTACATATCTTCCACAGAAGATGCGTCGATACCACAAAGCTTAGCCCCCTCTTCACGGGCTTTTTCTGCCTCCCACCCTGCATCCAATAGTGAGAACTCTGCAATTTCAACCTCAGCATCCGTCCCAACACGACCAGCAACAAGTGCCATCCGCGAAAGAACGGGATGCGTAAAAATATCAGCAACCGTCAGAGAAATCCCCTCCAATCGGGCGACAGCCACCAACTTCATAGCTTTCAACGAATCGGCGCCCAGAGCGAAAAAGTTGTCATTGGCACCGATGTCAATATCCGCACCAAATAGCTTGATCCAGATTCTCTGCAGGTCTTTCTCCGTATCTGTTTTCGGTGCTTGCTTTTCGGCGACCTTGGCCCGGAATTTGGCGAGCTGTTGATGTGTCATTCCCAGTCCGATTTCCTGTAATCGCTTACGGTCAAGTTTACAAGAAACTAGCTGGGGCATTTGTCGGAGGGGAATGTACGCGGCTGGGATCATGTAGGCGGGAAGTTCGGTGGCAAGTCCTTCGTCCATCTCAGCTAGAGACTTGCAGAGGGCTGGTGAGAAAGAGGTGGTTGGGTCAATATCATCAGATTTCGTGTGTCCTGCTTCCGCGATGAAAGCAACCAGGGTTGGTTCCTTATCTTTTCCTCCAGGAGTAATGACTTCTGCTGCCACACTGGTATCAGGTGGCAATCTGCTACGAAGATGATGTTCAATCTCGGCCAACTCAACACGTTGACCACGTAACTTCACTTGTCGATCTTTTCGGCCCGCGAAAACAATCTCCCCTGATCCATCTGGATCATATTTGACCAAATCCCCCGTCTTATATAGACGACCTTTTCGTCCTGGTGTGTTTTTGGAGCCGGCTGTTAACCATGTTGGGTTCTCGATGAAGACTTCTTTCGTCTTCTCGGGTTCGCTGATGTATCCTACGCCTACTAGCGGACCTTCAATCAAGAGTTCGCCTACCGCGCCGACGGGAGTGAGGACGTTGTGATCATCGGGGTCAACAATCCAGGTGAGACCTCCACAACCCTTTCCAATACTGGTGTATGCTCTTCCCGGCGTAATGCTGTTATTAATCGTGCATCCAACTGTACATTCCGATGGACCGTACGCAATAATGACTTTTGTTTTCTCGCCCCATATCGCCGCGTCGCCCGCAGACACAGACTCTCCACCAAGCCCCAGAACCTCCAATGATGATAAGATATCGATTGGCAGCACGCGAGCAACGGAAGGTGTCATATGAGCCATATTCACATTCATACTTCTTATCGCCCCAGGAAGATCATTGACTCGTTGCTCATCAGATGGCACACAGATACAGCCACCCTGTGATAAAGTGGCCAGCATACAATCGATACTGACATCGAAAGCATACGAAGCGAAATCCAGGACTCTCGAATGTGCTCTATATCCCACTGCATCGGCTCGCGGTAACGCACCACTAGTATAGTTCTCGTGTGAAATCACAACACCCTTTGGCTTCCCAGTCGACCCGGAGGTAAAAATAACATAAAGTGTTGAAGTTCCCGGGACCTTTGGCAACTTGGTCGCACCTACTTCGACCGTATTATCCCGCAGCTTCGGTCCCACAACCACAATCTTCGACCCAGGCGCTATTCTCGCGCCCAACTCTGCCTGTTTCTCAGAGGTCAAAACAATCTTCGCATCCACCTCCGTAGTTATGGTCCTTAACCTCGCTTCCGGTTGTTGCGGATCCGTGAGGACGAACCCGCCTCCCGCTCTCAGAATCCCAAGAACTCCAACAACAGTCCACATGGACTTCTCGAAACATAGTGGTACAAGTGTTCCCACCGTCACACCCAGATCCGACAACTGAACTGCCAGTTGTAACGACAAACGATCTAACTCCCCATACGACAACTCGCCATCCCAGGATTGAACCGCAGGACGACTCGGATCTTTCACCGTCTCCTCGATGACGATATCTTGTATACACCTCTCGATCGTAGGCGGGACAGTAGCGTTCCACTGCCATATCTGGGCGAGTTCGTGGTTGGCGACTTCGATTTGGTTGAAGGAGGGCATGATTCCTTCCTTGCGATGTCTCTCTCGTCTAGACGAAAACAAGTATAAAAAGTACGGGTATATTTCGAAAGGGAAAGATTCAACTACATCCCACTTGCAAGCGTCAGGATAACGAAGTACGACAGGAAAAGCCCCATGGGAACTCGGATAGCCAGATTATCTTATCTGATCCAAGAGCTGCTCCACCAGCCATCGCATCAGGTGCAGCGGCCATCAAGGGTGGTGCTTGGATGGATGTGACTCGGTCGTGGATCTCCTTCTTCTGGAATAGAATAGCTGTCGGGGTATTGCCTCGATTCGATATGCCTGTATGATTTTTCCTTATTCTATTTGTGGATGTGTTGGTGGATTTAGCCACTTGGAGCAAGTGATCGACGAGGGGGTTCTTGTTGAGTATTAGTGGTATTAAGTGGAGTGGACGTATTCTTTTTAGTCATGAGTGTGACTTGTGAGCCCTCATGAGTAGTTGTGTTATTCTTGGAGATTGAGTTTGTAAGTAAGGTTACGGCGGCAGCATCAATCGTCGAATGTAGGTTTACAAGTGATCCTCACTGCATTAATCTTCAATCTAAGCATAACTTAACTTAAATCCAAAGCATAACTCCAATCCGCCCAACTCAAAATTCCACTTCCTCACATCTTCTCTCTCCATATCTCTACCCATTTCTATAACTGCATCTCTCATATCCTCTCCACCCCCCTAAAACGAAGTAATACGAACTCCCCCGGTCCTCCCATCCACCCCACCCACCATAAACCCCCAATCCTCAATCCCAAACACACACCCCCCATTCCCTCCCACCTCCCAAAAGAAAAAAAACTCTTCCACATCCACATCCCTCCACATCCGATCTCGCAAGTTGACATGCTCGACATGGTACGGACATATCCCTCCATGCACCATTACGTGTTTCCATTTTGCATCCTTTCCCCTCTACCCCACCTTGTACGGTGCATCCCGAGCTCGCTTGCGCGAAAATCCCGTCGATTCGGCGAAAATCTTTTTTAATCTAATCAGATGGGCCCACTTTGATCTGATAAGATGGGTGGCGAGGTTCAAAGTGGGACGGGACGGACGCGGGCTCGGCGGGTACAGGGATGTGGTGGGATGACAGTATGAAGTTTTTTACTGTGGTGGGAAGGCCGAGGGTTGTGGTAGGGGGGGAAGGAAAAGGGTAGGAGGGAGGGAGGCACATGTGATGGTGTGGAATTGGATGCGGATGCGGATGCGGATGTGGAAAGTACCTAAGCGTAGGTAAATTTAGGAGATGGAGTGGATGGGTGGAAGTGGTCATTACCCTAGATTGTAGGTCTTGACTCACTAAGTTCCTTTGAAAGAGCGAAAGAAATAAAGGATTGTTTCGTAGTATTTGTTATATCCATACTCGTAGACTTGTGGGTAGATAGAGGAGATAATAGTACGGCTGCAAAAGTAATTGAAATGTGGTAACTTTGCAACTTCCGACTTCGCATTCTATGCATCCAGTTGTGGTATAGTAGGGTGGGATCTATGAACACCCCTTTAATAATCCGAATTCAAGGTCTAAATCTGGATGTAAATCGAATGGCTTCCTAAGTACTTCACTGTAGTAGAAGTGTTTCTTTTGATCGTGGCGATTCGCTTTCTTCTGACAATGGTAATTTTTTCGATTGGGGAATTGAGATTGCTACAAAAATTAGTTGAAAAGATGTGTTTATATACTACACTCATAGCACAACCAATCTGTTAATTCCAATTCTTTTGAAACCCTTTCAAATTAGACCATAACATTACGCCTTTTAAGAAAGAAAAAAAACCATTCTATAAAGCATTAAATATTCACTCCATCCCACCTCACCGCATGCCAAAAACCCATCTACCCAAGCATCTGCGACATCGCATTATCCCTATAACTCTCACTCCTCCCCAAAAGCTCCTGATGGCGTCCCTTATCCACCACTTGTCCCCCTTCAACCACAAAAATCACATCCGCCTTGAGAACCGTATGCAGACGATGCGTAATCGCAATAACAGTAACACCCATCTCCTTGACCGCCCTCTCCAGTCCCTCCTGCAGGGCCGTCTCACTCTCCGCGTCCAAGGCACTAGTACTCTCATCCAGCAACAACAGTCTTGGTTTTCGCACCAGTGCTCGGGCGATGGTAAGACGTTGCCTCTGACCACCAGAAAGCTGCGACCCATTGGGTCCGCACTCGGTTTCGTAGCCCTTGGGGAGGGACATGATGGTATCGTGGATGTTGGCTAATTTACATGCCTCTTCGATTTCGGCATCGGTTGCTTCGGTACCGGGTCGTGCGCCGAGACCGACGTTGAATTTTATGCTTGCGTTGAAGAGAGCGTTGTCTTGTGGGACGACGGCGATGTCGTCGCGGAAGGATTTGGTGAGGACGTTTACGCCGTCGATTGTTACGCTTCCTTGGGTGGGAGTGTACATTCGTTGAACAAGACCGATCATAGTGGATTTTCCGGCACCAGAAGGTCCGACAAGTCCGATGAATTGCCCGGGCTGGATGGTGAAATTTATGTCTTGGAGGACTTGAATTCCAGGACGGTTGGGGTAGGAAAATGAGACGTTGTTAAAAGAAACACTGACTCCGCGGTTATTTCCTGAGATGGGATGAGGGATTGCTTCGGCAGTTGCTTCGATATCCGAATCCGTGGCGTTCTTGGATGAGGATTCGACTTCGAGAGGGGCCGAGGAGTTCTGGTCGCTTGAGCCGGCCTTGATAAGACTGAGGATTCGGGATGCGGAGGATCGGGAGCGTGATACTTCTGGTGCGAGAGAAAACATTTGTCCCCAGAGTTGGGCACTGACAAGCATAGAGACAAGGACGATGAAGAACTGTTCTTGCGTGTACTCTCCTCTCATGATAAGTTGTGAACCCCACCAGTAAGCGAAGGCATAGACGAAGTATCCAGTGCTCGTTGAGATTGCGAACCAGATGTTGGTGTAAACACTGGCAGCAACCATTTCATCTCGCGAGGATTTCAAAACTCGAGTATATGTACCCATAACCTCGTCTTCAATAGACAACGTTGCAATGGTTTTGATAGAGTTAATAGCTTCGACAGAAATTCCAATTGATTTCGCGTATGATGCTGCGTTGCGCTCTTCATATCGTGACAGAGTACGCAACTGCATGATTCCAGCGCCGAGTAAGAAGGGAACCATTGTGAGACAGACAATGGCAATTTTCCAAGCAATGATATGAGAGGTAATGATGGCAACCAGGAAGTTGACAAAAACTGCAAAGATCGTGCCCGCGACGGAACCGGTAAACCCACCAAGAGCCGCGGTATCCTTGGTAATAACGGATAAGAGCATCGATGGACTTCTATCGCTCGACTGATGCCATTCAACACTCTGTTCAAATAGAGACCTGAACGACAATACTCTCACTCTGTATAATAATTTCTCGGCGACAAGCCCAAAAGAGGACCAACTTATGAGGTTTGCGAGAAATTCAACACAAGCAAGCATGAAGAATAATCCACCAAAATAGCGACCATTGGATCGGATTTGATCTGCAGTATTGTCACATGTACTGAGGGCACCAAGTGTGTTTCCAAAGATAAGACCTGAAGCTGTGTATGTGCATCCAACGATAACTGCAGCAAACATTGCAAGTACCAGGAATGGAAGTGTAGGTCGAATCAACCATACCATACCTTTCAACACAACACTGGTAGATTGTTCGCCATCTAAACCTGAATCCTCTGGCTCGGTGCTCTCTATTTTCTCCTTGGTTGCCTCGATCGAACTGGATGATCCTAATGGCAAGGGCTTTTCATCGACAATTTTGCGTTTCTCAATTGGCATATCTAGGGAACCTTTGATGGTGCTAGATGCTGAAATGACAGCACCTTGTTCGGATGAGCTGATCGATTGGAGAGCAACCATACCAGCAAAAAGACCTTCCAAGGCCATAAGCTCAGAGTACGTACCCTGCTCCACAATCTCGCCAGCTTTAAAGACAACAATATTGTCAGCGTGTTTGATTGTCGATAAGCGGTGGGCAATGGACACCACTGTCCTGTTTTGGGCAACCTGGTCAATTGCTTTTTGGATTCTTTGCTCGCTTGACGAGTCCAGAGAAGCAGTTGCTTCATCTAGAATCAAGATTTTAGGATCGCGAACCAAGGCACGAGCCAATGCGATTCGCTGCCGTTGGCCACCTGACACCATCTTCCCACCGGTACCGACCATTGTTCCATAGCCACGTTCGAGTTTATTGATAAAGGTAGCGGCGTCGGCAAGATCGGCCGCATTGCGCACTAATTCCAAGATGTCTGTGACTTGCTGACCGAATTGATGTTCTTTTTGGTTTATCGTAATTTCAGTAATACTGGAGGCGACTTCCGAAATTTTGGCTCCCAGAAGTACATCTTTGAGGTGTTGATGTGAAGGCATTGGGGAATTAACCAAGCCAAGAGCAATGTTTTCCAAAATCGAACGATCGAGAAGGGACGGTTCCTGAGATACTAAGCTCATAAATCCTCGTAAGTCTCTGACTTTAAGGTCGCGCAAGTCCTGGTTGTCGAAGGTCACCGTTCCTTCGGTTGGGTCATGAAGGCGAGCCATCAAGCCGGCAATCGTCGATTTTCCACTACCAGATTGCCCAACGATTGCTGTATGCTTCCCAGCTGGGATACTCAAGTTGAGATTTTTGAGGACTGGTTCGCCTGGTCGCGAAGGGTATGCAAACGTGACGTTTCTGAATTCGATCGTACCAGGGCTATCAGGTCCAAGGCTTATTCCAGCATACGAGGTACCGTCAATTAGTGAGATGTGGTCCATATCTTTCCTCAGCTTCTGAAAGGCACTAGCTGCTCCACCAAATAATGGTAAGAGTGGCGCGATAGCACCAAGAACAACACAAGCTATCACAAAATTAGCTTATCAAGTTTGAGTCGAGAGTCCGGCATCTCCATCAACCTACCATCAACTAAAATGAAAACAACAGTATAAATCGACCCTACAGTCTCGCCACCTTCACCTCCAGAAACCAATTTCGCAATCATGGTACTGCCCTGCCAAAATGCCAAAGCATTTGCAGAGTACGCAATGAAATAAAGCATTCCAGCCTGAGATGCAGCGACCACTCCTCTTTTGATTCCCTGTTCGCGGGCAATGGTCATATCACTAGCAAACTTCTTTTCCAGCCGTGGGCCAGCGCCAAAAGCCTCCACGACCGCAATGTGAGATAGAGCCTCTGAAGCGATGGAAGAAGCTGCAGCCATAGCATCCGACATGCGAGCTGAAAACCTCTGGAAGAGCTTCCCCCCAAAATAGGAAACCAGCAAGAATGCAGGAACGAGGGAGATGAGTATTCCAGCAAGCGTTGATTGCTTGATGAAAGCAACGACATACGCCGTGGCGAAGAAGGATATGCTGGCAATAAAGATACCAACCTTCTCGCAAGTTCCGGATTGCACGGCCTGGATATCGGCATTGAGACGTGAGGATACTTCTCCAGCATGGCGTTTGTCAAAGAAGGACTGCTCCAGACGAAGGAGACTTTGAAAGTAGTTTTCTCGTAGACGTTGGGCAAGACGTTGACTTCTGATATTCCAAGAAACAATGTAGAGGAATGTCAATCCAAATGCTCCGATGGATATGTAGACCAAGAGGAGAACCTTTTCGTTAATGCCCGCTGCATATTCAGAAGACCTGCCCACCGTACTGGCTTCACAGGTGGCCGAGTTCAAGTCATTTACCAATTGACCGAACAGAATGGCCATCAGAGGAAAAGGGATACCGGCACCAATGGCAGAGATGGTACCAACGATGAGTAGCGCCACATCGATCCATGTTGCGCCATAGAAGAGCAGTCGGACGAAGATGAAAGGCTGTTTGTAGATTGTTCAGTTCAGAATCCCGTGACACTACCGAGCGGAAATCTTGATATGCAGGAGGATATGGGTATGGGATGCGGTATCACTAACCGATGATTTTTTGGGTTCTGGTTCTGGCAGTGCTCCTTTTTCCGATACTTGGTTGTCAGACGTGACCACGCCAGGAGCTGCAACACGGGAGTCTTTTTCCGACATCTCTGCGGCCATCTTGGATCCACCTTCGTCAATCGAAGGTCCTTCCGTATGTCTTGTCTTCTTTTACGAGTCTTCTCACTCCAATTTCATCTGGTCGGTAGTGTCGAGAGTGCAAAATGCCGCGAAAGATGGTTTCGAAGGGAACGGTGAAGAGGCAGCTTTTGCACGACTGTCGTGGTCCGTTGTCAACACCAAGACATTGGACCTTCCTAAGTAGCGTATAGGGAACTCGCGTAATACGGCATCCTTGCTACGATTTACTCGGATCCTCCTTTGAGCTCGGAGGAGATTCCTGAAGTCGATCGTCACATCTCAACGCCGGTTACGGACTTTCCTGGCAGCGCTTGACCTCCATCCACCGTGAATGTGCTGTAAGACCGAGGCCAGGACCCAATAGGCCGGAGAGCCAAACTCGATGTCATGATCCTTGCTGGCGAATGATGGGCGGTGGTGTTTGATGGAGATGTGGGGGGGCACGAGTGGTTTTGGTGGTTTGTCAGTTTCGCCTGCCATGGGGCAAATGTGGTGACTGGAGGGCAAGTGGTAAGTGGCAAGTGGACTGCACTGCGATCCCTGCTAGCTTGGGAAAACTCCATCTGATTAGATCACTAGCGTGTGAAAATTTTGATCAGATAAGATGGGAATGGGATGGGCTCCACTTTCACGCCTTGGCATGTAACCTGCATCCACGGTGGTGCATCCGACACATGCGATAGCTTTTTCGGGTAACTCAACTATACGTGCAGGCAGGGAACCTCCGTACGGTAGCGGCAATCTGCGTCATTTCTCCATTCATGTTATATGAGCTTGCTGGCGATTTAACCTCCGGAAAGGATAAACAAGTAATCTGCCCATCACCAACTTACTTTCCACCAAAATCCCGGATTTACTTCTCCCCAAAATAACTACAGTCAACTTTCACCAAAATCCCGCATTTACTTCTCCCCAAAATAACTACAGTCAACTTTCACCAAATCCCCAAAATGTTGAAATCGATTCTTCGAAAGCTTCCTATGCGTCGGGAAGAACCAGAGCCAACACCAGCACCAGAGCCAGCATCAACACCATCACCAGCACCAGCACCAGCACCAGCACCAGCACCAGCACCAGCAGCTGCAGTCAACCCCAAACCCCAACCAAACTATTACAAGGGCAACGTCATTCTACCATGCCTCATCACCGACATTGCCGCCCTTTACGATGCCTACTACAAGGCCGCCGATGAGGAGCCCATGGCCAAACTGATGCTGGACGTCCTCTTTCCCATGGGCATAACCGACGAATTCAAAAAGGTCCACGCCGAACACGCGCTCAAGGAATGGCATACACACAAAGTGCAATATACGCTCAAAGTCGTTGACGCCAAAACAGGAGACCTCATGGGCATGGCCATTCAGGATATGCATTTCGTGGAGCGCGAGGAGAGGGAGCGTGAGAAGCCCGTCTTTGGATGGCTGGAGGGCGCCCAGCGAGAACGAGCCGAGACCATCTTAAACCCTCTTTGGGATGCGAAGGAGAAGCTCATTGGTGGGAGACCACATATGTGTTAGTCAATCCCTCATTCTCACATGTTTTTCTTGCTCCTGTTCACTTATAAGAGAAACTCACTTGTGAGATGGACTCACTTGAGTTGTGAGAAAAACTCAAACCATCATCCCAATCCCATCCAACTCCCTCAATTAACCTCCACTAACCCACTCCCAGACGGCCACATCATCGCCGTCGACCCCAAGTACCAGGGCCGAGGAGCCGGCGCCGCCATCGTGCAATGGTGCATCGACACCAGCAACTCCTCAGGTCTACCATTCTACCTAGAGGCCTCGCCCTTCGCAGCGCCACTGTACACCAAGATGGGCTTCGAGACGCTGGAAGCAACGATTGTGCACAAGAAAGAGGTCCTGGGGACCGAAGAGGATATCACTGTTCCGCTGATGGTTTGGATGCCGGCGGCTGCCAATGGCATGACTTTTGCCGAGTGGAGGGAGAAGGGATATCCTGCTTGGGAACGGTGAAGAAAATCTGAAAGACAGGAATGTATAATGGAGATAATACCCAAATATTTATTGTTGATGGATATGTTTCGATGGCCTTGAATCTAAATGACTAGCGTTAGTAAATGTTAAACTGGTTCCAATTATTCGCCTTGTTTAAGCGAAACAGCTCTGTAGTAAAGTATAGCGTTTTTCTCTCTTATAATCTAATTCCTCCATGTTCTTACTCTCTATATTCTCAATCTAATCACCCTACAAGAAACCTTCCATAAAAACAAAATAACAGTAATATTCATGAAAGAAAATACACGTCCTCCCCCTAAAAACTTGAATATTCTACAAAACAACATATCTCGTATTATTTCCATATCTATCCTCCCCTCTAACCTACCTAAAAAACAGCTCTTCTTTAGTACTCTACCTCCTACTACTCCTCTATATACTCTAAATAAAACACCACCTAAACATAGCATAAACACTTCCTATTATTTATTCTCTTCTACTCTAAATTCTATACCTTTATGATCTTAAATAAATATATAACTAAGTTAAACCTATTTATAAAAACTATTTAATACTTATATAAGTTAATCTAATAATCTACTAATTAACAAAAGTACTCTATACTATTAAAGAATTGTTTTCTTCTTCTTCTATAGGTACTATACGTTATGACAACGCTCGAAGTAATAAATAATTGATAAAAACCTCCAAGTTTAAGAAATTCTTCTATACCTATCTACCCCTATCCTTATTATTCTCCTTCCTCACTTCATCTTAACTATAATACTAGACTATATTATACCAAAACATTCCATATACTAGCATATAACAAGACTTTAAAGCTAATCAGAGCAGCCCCTCGGATATAATAATACTCGGACAACTCCTATTTTCAGAAGCCACCGTAACAATCACTCACTCCGTACTCTTCGTCGCAATCTCCTCGAGTACTTCACTTAAACTTACTATTAAATACATAAGAACTACGAAAGTAAATATACGATATTAAAATTGCTTCTCGAAGATCTAAGTAAGGTACGATTTTCTATCTCAGAAAGGGAGAGAAAAACTCAAACCTATTTAGTAGGAAGCTTTTCTAAGTAAAAGACCTTCCTTACGTTTACTCCGCGCTCCTTGACCTCTGGCGAATATCTTTGGTATAATCTGGGATGGATAATAAACCATATCTAAGATCCGATTGTTTTCTATAAGTTATAGCTTATATATTAGTAGAAGGAAATATCTATAAACCTGTTGTGCTGGGTCTACTTTCTCTTTTGCTCCACTTCCTTATTTGATCCACTAATATTTCTGCTGCCTAAATGCTTCATGTCTGCCTAAACCTTACACTCTTTATATAAATACTTTAGATACCTACCTTTTACAATGCAATCAATTCTCCATGACCTTCAGTACCCAATACCCTTTCAACCCAATAAAACCGAATAGACTTTCTTAATAGATAACACTACGGTTAACCTAAGCCTCTGACGATAGCTTATTTATTCTTGTGGCAAGCTCCTCGAGTACGAAGTAAACGATATCTACGCGGGATCATAAGGTAATTAGTAGGAGGAGAAAGGCTTCTGAAAATTTGATTGAGGCCGGTGAATACACCTTCCTCTTTACTGGAAACTACGAATATTTCGTCTTGCGAATAATCCAAAGTAGCAACTAATAAACCCGCATTCTCGCTTATTTCATCTCATGAAGGAAGTTGTTTAGTGAACGGTCACTTCCCATCAACTATTGTATCTTGATCTGGAACTGAATAGTCACGAATCACAAAATTCTACAAGTCTTCAATCTATTAACATCTCCAAGGCCAGAGCATAGTATAAATCCTCCCTTCCTCTTCCCCAAACCCCCTCTGGGAATTACGTCAGGAAATACCAGACACCCGGCGGGCCGACCCAGGGTACAAACCCTTCCCTAACGCGCACTTTTCCTAATACTAACGGTGGGCGCAAAACCTTAAATATCCGACCAAAGACGTAGTTCTTTATCTACGACTCTACGAGTTCACGGGTTTACTTGTTTATAGGCAGGGNGGGCGCAAAACCTTAAATATCCGACCAAAGACGTAGTTCTTTATCTACGACTCTACGAGTTCACGGGTTTACTTGTTTATAGGCAGGGAAGGGAGCGAGAGGGGGGGAGGGGGGTATAGGGGTATAATAGAAGTAGAGACTTATAAGAGGGCAAAGTAGAAAAGTACTTATATCAGGGAAGGGAGCGAGAGGGGGGGAGGGGGGTATAGGGGTATAATAGAAGTAGAGACTTATAAGAGGGCAAAGTAGAAAAGTACTTATAGAGAGTAATAGAGGGGGAGGGACAGGTAGAAACAGCTAAGTACTTATAGGTTGGGAGGGAGAGGGATAGATAAAAACAACTAAGTACTTATAGGTGGTTTATAGAGGTAAAGGGAGGGGGAAAGGCTCTATAATATAGATAGATAGCTCACGGAACGCTCGGGTTACGCTTAAACTCTCCTAGAAGTATAATAGTCTCTAGAGTACCCTCCGTCCCTAGAAGCCTACTTTTTGGTCCTTAAATCCCTACTTTTTAATACCTAATTAGGGCGGTGTCAGGAATTTCCGTACAGTGTCAAGAAATGTCTGACACCGGGTTTCCAGAGGGACCTCCATCATCCTCCACCCTCAAACACCCTCATCACAACCCCAACAACTACCTCAACAGAACAGAACCATGAGCCACCCATCCAAACCTCCCTCAAAATCCAACCACCACATCTTCTCCCACCCGCAGCAATACACAGATCGTCAAACACACTACAAGCGCGGCAGAGTCTAGGAATGCAGTAGCTGCACTTGGTACCACGGACGCCTCGCCTGCTCAGGAACCATGCGATCTGGCGAACACCGCTGTGCGAACTGTCAGAAACCTGTCAGCTACGTACCACGGGGGTATTATCAACACCCTCTCTTCAAATGCTCCCAGCGCGGTTGCCAGAACAGGGTGAGATTTCCTGAGAGACGCGGGCATAGGTATATAGTATGTCATCATCCTATGGTTATTATGCTGGAGGAAGAGTTGTTGGAGGAAGGTATTATTATCTAGTGGATAGTGAATTGCTGGTGGATGGAAGTTTACAAATGGGATGGAGGACCGGGGTTGGCACAAAAGGGAGCCCTTCTCTTGACCAAGGGGTGGTGCAGGACACTATATCTCTTTCTCAGGCACACAGGAGTTAACATTCGAAGAGCAAAACAAGATAGCTGCATTGACTAAATCCCAGGCAGTGTGAGGGTTGGAACCCATGATGGAGGCTCGGGCCATGCCCTCGCTAAGCACTGACCAAAGTCCCCGCTCAGCATTGGCCATTGCTCCACTGCTAAATTGGTTTCTCCTTTTCTACACTTTTCTACTCTATTCTTTTGACGTCACGTATTTGTCAACAGTTTCTTGGAAGACTCCAGAAACTCTTCCTCTCTCTATATATAGAGGAAGAGATTGCATGTATGTAGTCTTCACGCTGGCCATTGCTCCACTGCTAAATTGGTTTCTCCTTTTCTACACTTTTCTACTCTATTCTTTTGACGTCACGTATTTGTCAACAGTTTCTTGGAAGACTCCAGAAACTCTTCCTCTCTCTATATATAGAGGAAGAGATTGCATGTATGTAGTCTTCACGCACTTCTTAATTGAATATTCGAAACCACACCTTTGAGCTATTCGAGGTCTGGCCTCTCACACTACCATCGAGAACCTTTCTGTTGTCAAAACCGTATTCTTCATTCGCTAGACACGAGTAAGAAATCACCTCTCAACAGAACCCTAAAAAGAACCGGTCTTCGCCTGGAAACCCCCCTGGATTTTGGAGATTTCCAATCACATCAAAGGACCAACCGGAAAAAAAGCTATTCCCTTGCTATACTTGTAGTTCTTGTGCTGCCAAATTAAGGAAATCACCGGAGTTTCAGACCCTCTTTGTAAAGGCTTTTAGTTGTAGATTTGTCCCCTACGTGACCTACTCGCTCTACCTCCTCGCCCCTTTGCTCCTATTTTCTATATAGAAAGTTCTATAATAATAAAAATAAACCCCTACTCGCCTCTACAGCCCTCTAACGTAGATACGACCACGTTAATGTCTGGGAGATGCATTGGAAAACACCTTTCACCATAGGGCGTCAAGAAGATATAAAATGTTTTCACTTCTACTTGATGTACGAGGAAGTCACTACAATCAGCATTGTATGTAAATCTTACCGTAGAATTAGATAGGATTTAAGTCCGATTTTCTTCTAAACCGTCCAATCTAATCTAATAGTTCCTAGTGATATCTTACCCAGGCGAGATAAAGAGAGAAATTTATAGCTTGACTCCACTATATTCTGAGCTGTTTCTTTGAATGTGGGTCTAAATAACAGCTGCCGATTTTGTTTTCCCCCGCAATTTGGACTCGTTTCTGCTCCGTCTTTGGGGCCAAAATTTAGTTTTTAGGGTTATGTTCTTGATCTATCGTGCTCGTTGAAAGATATCTATTGGTTAGGTATCTGATAACAGGAGGAAGATAAAACAGAGTTTGATATTTCTTGTTGCCTTTGGGACTGCATCTTGGATTAGGTTGATTGGTATGAGTACCATTAAATATTGTCGTTTTGGCAAGTGTATTAATAGAATGCAGACAGGAGAACGAGATATCCTTTATCGCTCAATGCCCGGTGGTTTTCAACCACACTTGTTGCCAGGGGAAAATTGCTTCGTGGTTGAGGAGTCAAACCCTGCGTCTAGTGATAAGCAGTACTTGTTAGCGTTGAGGGCGCGTTTGACCAAGACCACAAATTGCCACTCATGTAACAACTAGTAGATGAAAATTCCGCACACACCAAAAATGCACGAATACGTGTAAAAATCCCGAATGCTCGGATCAATTCAGAGTGGATGATGACGCCGTTCGTTCTTCCGCCTTCGCCTAGTATACAACCATCCCGACATGCGTGTTCATTACCAAATATCCAGCCAGATACACGGGGTGACTGATAAAATATCCCAGCGCAAGACTTTCTTGTCGATGCTGCGATGCCCATTGTACTCCTCATCCATCCATAATACACATTGCGAAGTCTTCCAAATCGATAACATCCATCCATTCTTTTATAAACCACCAAGACCAAAACCCCCACCAGTAGCTCCGCCCTTTGCTTGTGCTTCAGCTTGTAATAATTCTGAGATCTTCATCTGGACGTCGAAGAATTTGGAGGCGCATCGGTCGATGCAGACAGCCTCGCCCTTGTGGAGGTCGCCCTCGCGGTAGTCTCTTGGTACACATTTCTTCATGCAGGCTTGTTGGAGTCTGCGCATTTGGTTAGAAACATGTTCTTTCGGTTCTCGGTTCTAGAAGAATGTAGCTTACTTGTTGAACATGTCGGTGACAAGGTCCATTTCTTGCTCTGCTGCTGCGATCTTCTCAGCAGAAGATGGCTGTGGGCGTCCGAATCCAAACATTGACGACATGATTGCGGTTTTTGGAGATTTGTTCACGGGCAGGAATCGAGTGGTTTATCCGGTAAGGTTCGTGATTTGTGATATGATGATGTCAAGATGCTGAAGGGAGAGCTTGAGTTGAGGAGCTTCAATTTCTCGAAGCTCCAACCCTCTAGCGTCATCTTGGTGGTCCGTGCACCGGCGATTATTTCTTCAGCATTTCTCAAAGTCAAAAAATATCATCCCCCTCCCTCATTTCTTCCTCACGCCAAACCACGAATGAAGGTCGCAAATCGCACTGTGAGCACCCAATTCTTTCTTTGAACTCTCCCGGGATACTATGATGATTTCCATATAACATTAGAACCGTTGCGACTGACACCTCCGGGTGGTTGATCTCACATCGATCCGTTGTCTGATAATTTCCCCATTTGATACCAAACGATTGTGCGCTTCTTGAGCATAGAATATTGGCTAATCTGGGTATCAATCACAGAATGCGTGGCGCCTCTTCCCTCCGCTCGTTGAGGCCATGTATTTCTAGGAGTCTTTCCTCCGTGAGAAATTCTCACTCCACGCCAAGCAATCCTCTTCTTACCACGGCAATCGTAGGATCAAACCCTCGATACCTGAACCGTTGCCATTCGACATCCGCAAATACCGAAAGGTGTAGCAAGTTAGAGAGTGTTGGCGCCTTGAAATGGCCCCGCATTCGGAGTGACCGCAATGCAGTCTCTATCGCGAAATATCTTGAGCGTTATGCCGAATTGACACCCGGGGAAAAAAGACATCAGAAAAATGTCGTCGTACGGGGTATGGAATGATATATGGCCCCGGTGCTTTGATCACACGTACTCACGATATTCCAGGCCGGGTAGTCTCTGTTCGTAAAGCCGGTGGCCAATTGTTCTTCCTGGATGTTGAAGCGGGTGGCCATTCCGTACAAGGTGTTTTTGAGGGCAAGTCAATTCATTCTGGCTCCTCGTCAATTTTGCAACAATTCAATGAGGTCTTTTATGTATTGAGACCAGGGGACATCGTTGGTCAGTACCCTGTTGATGCTGTAAATACACGTCCCTAACATCATTACAGCTTTGTCTGGCAACCCACACCGTACAAAATCGGGACAGTTATCGGTGTTTGGCACTGATGTGCCATCAATCTTGTCACCATCACTGAGCATTCATCCAAAGGAACTCACAGACCCGGAAGCTCGAGTTCGGAATCGGCATGTAGACATGCTGGTCAATCCAAAAGTACTACAGACTTTAAGGCTTCGATCACATGTCATCCAATACATCAGAAATTTTCTATTGGAAGACAACTTTTTAGAGGTACAGACACCTATAGTGGCTGGTGATGCTGGTGGTGCCATCGCAAAGCCATTCATAACGAATGCGACAGAATTTCCCGAAAAGCAGCTGGCGCTTCGCATTGCTCCAGAAATATGGCTGAAACGTCTACTGGTTGGAGGAATGGGGAGTGTATTCGAGATTGGGCCAGTCTTCCGAAATGAAGGTCTGGATGCAACCCATAATCCCGAATACACCACTTGTGAATTCTACAAGTCTTTCGCAAATCTAGATGATTTGATCAAAATGACGGAGGACATGGTGGTTGGTATTGGAGGGCTCGTTAACGAGCTTCACGCATCACCCAAGAAACAATTCGAGGCAATCCCAAAAGTTTCCGAAGCACTTCTTAAATCACCTTTCCAACGTCTCGAATTTGTCCCTACAATTGAGAGGCAACTTGGCTTCAAACTTCCAGATCTTCTTTCCCATACTGCCACCGAAGAGCTCATGGCCATTCTCAAGAAGAATTCGATATCGATTCCATCGTCACCAGACTTGCCACGTCTACTTGACAGATTAGCCACTGCATACATCGAGCCTTTGTGTGATGGTCCTACATTTGTTATAAATCACCCAGCATGTATGGCACCGTTAGCGAAGTCATACATTGACCCTTCCACCAAGCAATTGGTCTCTGCTCGCGCGGAGCTGTACATAGAGAAGAAGGAAATCGCAAATATGTACGAAGAGGAGAACTCCCCAATTGAACAACGAGATAAACTCGTCCAGCAGGCAGCATTCAGAAGAGATGAGAACGTAGCTACTGTTGATGAGAGCTACATCGGTGCTTTGGAGTTTGGTCTACCCCCTACGGGAGGTTGGGGCTGTGGTATTGATCGTCTGGTCATGCATTTTGCTGGAGCCAGTCGCATTAGTGATGTCTTGCCCTTTGGGAGTTTGAGGAATGTCGTAAACTTGGTCAATCCTGCTCCGAGAACTAGATGAGATTTCTATTAAGGCGGTGTAAGATTCATATACAACTTGTAGATTAGCGTATATAAAACCACAACCATATCAAAGAATAAAGACATTCTCAAATGATCATTAGAAAGGGACTCTTTAGATGTTAATCACTGTATATCTATATATATAAGACAAGTAAGCGTTATTCTATACCTGGTTTATACCGCGCGCTTATTTAATATAAATAAACTTTTTTATTAGACCTCTTAACCCTGTTCTATACATTTACAAACTTTTTGTACTAATAGATCCTCGATTTTAGTTTCCTTCTAGAGTAAAGTTTTTATACTTATAAGCCCTGTTTTTAATTAAATTACTAATTCCCCTAACTATATACTATATTCTAGAGAAGAATATCTAGTAATAATGTAACGAATACTCAAACTGGCTAACTAAACTTGGCTGGGTGTTCGCTGGTTGGTATGCTATGATAAGAAGAAGACTATCGGGTTGTTCACTTGGAAGTGAACTCGTTACTTGTATCAAAGATGTCAAACTAATATGATAAAATTGATAACTAAGTTGAGCACGAAGCTCCTATCTAATGGCAGACGTGCCAGTCTTATATAGAACCTTCGTTCTCTCGATGTTCGCTCGTTCGACAATCGAACTGGCTAACTTCGCCTGTTCGCCCGGCTAATTGGCGAACTCCTAATATCACGTGATAACAATACAGAGAAATCCCTGGATCGCTTAGCTACTCCAAACGATCCCTATTTGCTATAAGAAACCTGGATGTGCCTTTCGAGGGTTGCGCCTCTTATTATGACAAGTATCACGTGAACACGTGATTCGTGACAAATAAATAAAGAACGGAATTATAGAGTTATATTTTATTCTAAAGTCTAGCGTTCGGTACTTAGAATACGATTCCAAGATTTCATTCTATAGTATAATATTCTAAAGGCTTTTAAATTTAGACCGGAATATTTTAAGGATTAAGGCTCTAGAATTTAGGATTCTAAATGTTACGGAGTTGGAGGAATTGGGGGCAGATCACGTGTAGCAGCACGGCACGTGCGTGCTGCTGGCAGCCTGTATATAAGCTTCTGTTCCTCTGTAACTCTCTTCCTTCCTCACTTAGTTGTTCGCTCTATATAGCAGTTTCCGTTTGACTCCGTATTCATCACAGCAAGCAGTGGTTCACTCCACACGGTCACACTAAATATAATATATCTATAAAGCTTTTTAGCTAATAAGGGAGCTTAGCTTTAAAGTAAATAATAATAAAGTAAATTAGTTTAGTTATTTACTACGTTAGTTATATACTACTAGCTTACGTGTTACGCTTAGTATATACTGTTACGGAGTTGGAGGGACTGGGGTCTGGTCACGTGTAGCACGTCACGTGCGTGCCGCTGGCATCCTGTATTTAAGCTTCCGTTCCTCTGGAACTCTCTTCTCTCCTCACTTAGTTGTTCGCTCAATACAGCAGTTTCCGTGTGACTCCGTATTCATCACAGCAAGCAGTGGTTCACTCCACACAGTTACATTACAACTAAGTCACCTCTTCGCCTGGGAAGGCCTGCTATAATATCCCACTTCGTTTATTCGTTTGTTCGTTTATTCGTTTTCACCTTTCGCCACGTTATACATCACTGAACGCAGTGTGCGTTATATGTCCCTGAACGACGACAACACCACGTTATACGTCACTGAACGCAGTGCGCGTTATATGTCCCTGAACGATGGTACCACCAACCACCCATCTCTCGAAATGCTCGCAGTGGACGACGAGGAAAGAGTAGACGCTCTGCCTCTACCCCTCGTACACCATCTGCTAGAGCCTCGAATGCCGTCCAGCAACGGANACCCATCTCTCGAAATGCTCGCAGTGGACGACGAGGAAAGAGTAGACGCTCTGCCTCTACCCCTCGTACACCATCTGCTAGAGCCTCGAATGCCGTCCAGCAACGGATGAAGAATCTCATACTCTCGAACAGCGCAAGCAAGCCAATAGCTCTCCTCTCTCGCCGCCGCTGGTAACTCTCACTCAGTACAACAAGATCACGACAAAACTCGAGTCTCTTAGACAGCCCAGCTACGCACTGCTCTCCAGACACACAACACACTCGTACACCATCTGCTAGAGCCTCGAATGCCGTCCAGCAACGGACGAAGAATCTCATACTCTCGAACAGCGCAAGCAAGCCAATAGCTCTCCTCTCTCGCCGCCGCTGGTAACTCTCAGTACAACAAGATCACGACAAAACTCGAGTCTCTTAGACAGCCCAGCTACGCACTGCTCTCCAGACACACAACACACACTCTCCAAATGATCCTATTCCCACTATTGAGAAGGACAAATCAACTGCCGGACGCAAACACACACGTCAGCCAAGCTCTCCAAGGGGTTCTCCGCATGTCTCCACGGGCCAGAACCGCCAATCCAACGCTCCACGTCAACATAGAGCAAACTCTTCCTCGAGCTCAACCAGTCGGAATTCAAAGCTCGCTATCAAAGTCAAGGATGTTTCTCTACTCGCGTCAGCCCGTTTCTAGGATATCCGGTCCAGCGCTCCACGACAAGCTAGAGCAAGAGCAAGCTCCTCTTCAAGCTCTACCAGTCGGAACGCAAGGCTCAGCGCCAAGGTTAACGACGTGCCTCAATTAGACGAGGAAAGCAACCCTTCCTTGGTTCGTTGGCAGGTGTTACTCAGAAGCAAACTTGTAGCAAACACGGATCACCTCGCTTCCGAGTCTATAAAAGAAAACACATGTTTGCTTATACAACTAGCAATGTAGCAGCCTTGCTTGAGACAGCCATGTCATCAGAATACAACCCGGACGATGCCTTTCCGTACTTGGAATCCACGGTAAAATACCTTGTTTTCCAGCCTCCGAAATCCACACGAAAAAGCCGATGCAAGGCATGCACTCCCTCTTTTGCCCACGGCCACACCGCCACCTACTGTCCCAGCCTTGTTGCAATACTCTACTCCTTTACATACAAAGCAAGCACGGACTACTCAGCTTCCGAGTTCGGAAAGTCAATCTTTGCAACAAGCTTACACAGCCAACTATTCCGAGACAACCTACGCGGCGTGTATACAACACAGCAGTACTGAGATGACTGGGCAGAGCTTTGAATTAAGCTTGAACCACGCTTATTTATACCTCCTGTTCTCTGCTCTATCGCCTGTAATGAGATTCCTCCTAGTTTCCTGCTAGTTGAGATGCCTTCTAGCTCCCTGCTAGTTAAGATGATGTCGGGACCTCTTAATTGAGCCTCTCTCGATACCCTTTAATTGTTAAACCCTCTGTGTACTTCTAACACAGATGCTCTCTCGACAGACATTACAATTCATGACCTCTTAATGGAGCTAGTCGTGAACTCTTCCGAGCCTGAGGAGGCACAAAAATACCTTTCTCAAATCCTCTGCCTACTTTCCGACATAAGTAGATACCTCTTTTGAGAAGACAACTCGAGACCTCTTAATTGAGCCTGTCTCGAATCCTCTTACAATTATCGAAACCTCTGCCTACTCTTCGATAGAGCAGACGTCTCTTCGATACCTTCTTCGATGCTTTCTTTAATACTTCTTAATGCTTTATTTAATTATTCTTCGATTTTTTCTTTAATTCTTTCTTCGAAGAATGACTTCTTTTACTTCCCATATAGTACTATTTCTTTCCTAGTAGCCTAGGGACAAGCTCCATTCTTTTCAGGGAGGGGGTACTGTCACACTATTACAGAGTTAATAGAATTAGCAACCTTCTGTACAACTTCTCTGCCACATGCTGCCGGACGACCCTCTAGAACACGAGCTAGACGCTTAACATGGCCCTTGGAGTACTGTNACACTATTACAGAGTTAATAGAATTAGCAACCTTCTGTACAACTTCTCTGCCACATGCTGCCGGACGACCCTCTAGAACACGAGCTAGACGCTTAACATGGCCCTTGGAGTACTGTGTAACAACCCCTTGGCTACAAAGCGCCTCCGCCTATGTTACCTCCGCCTACTTCTCTGAAGGAACAGCCAGAGGTTGCTATACCAGTACAACAAGAGAA